TTAGGGGACTAAAGAATAACTTGAGAGTTTTGGTTTTAGAGTTCCTTCCCAAAGATAAGACTGAGCATCTGTCAGTCATCTTCTCTCTTGCCAAGTTGAGAATACATGAAAACACTGAAAGCATTGCTCTGCTCATATATACCCATTCTTTTTTCTGAGCAGCACAACACACCTGTAGCACACCTAATCACTCACATGACTGTTGACAGGGCCATACCTGACAGATAAACAGGGGTTTAGCTGCCCTGTTGTTCTGCAGCTCTCAGCACCTGACAGTTGGAGCCTCACGGGGGCCAGAATGGAACTGCAATCACAACACCTTCAGACCAAGGTTTTCTCACTTCCTGAGCATAATTTCCTGACCTGTCTCCTCCCCACAAGGTTTTCAGTTGTTCCATCTCTATCTATCTGAACCATTTGCTCCAGAAACAAGGCGACTGCTCCGGAGCTCAGCAGTCAGTGCCACCACCTCTAATTGCTCGGGTGTTCACAGCACAGCTGGGGGTTCATGCCTGCTCCAGTTCCCCTGTATTTTCTGGAAGCCAAGCTGATCACCACAGGGTGTGAGCCACCAGCACTGCAAATCCCAGCAATTTGGCTCCAACTGAAAGAAACACATCAATTTGGATGTGGATGTTGCCAGCTCCAGCCCCGGTGTCTCAGCCAAGACGGAAACCATTCCAACCCTCACTGCTGAGCTCTCAAAAACTGGGAGGGGGCAAGGCCTCTGAGGAAGGAAGATCCATAACCAGGGAGAGAGGGAAAGAGATTTCCCGTGCAACACTCACTTCTGCAAAGCAAATCTGTCCAACATGGTTCAGATCCTGCAGAACATCCACACAACTGGCATCTGACAGCTTCAGACTCTTCCCAACCCTCATTCTGGGAACAGACCATGCTGATACCAATTATTTTAAACTGGGATTTGCATCTTTCCCGTGTGATTCTACTTCTGAAGTGCTGCACTACTGAGGAGAGGTCTGCAACTGCCAAGACATGAAAGAGTGTTTGTTATTAACACATCACTATATAATTAGGGGCTTAGCAGGGGGCTGGGCATTCACATGCTTTTTCCTCTGTTGCTGACAGCACAAGATGGAAGTCTCCAGGTATCCCGTTAGGTGACAAGTGAAAATGAGTTCTGCAGCCAAAACCAGGCAATTTGGCACAATTTAGTAGAGAGATGGCATTTTCTGCTCAAAAAGGCCCAGAATTGGAACAGCACGAGGTGTTACAGACCGAGACTGAGCTGTGCTGGCCAAGCTGAGTGGGTGTCTCATGGAGCAGAGCAGCAGTGGGTGCTGAAGTCCAGGATTGAGATCTGCTGGCAGAGCTCGAATGGGGAATGTTGCCCAGTTTCTGAGAACAACACAAAGTCTGTATTTTAATTAGAGTTCCTCTGCTCATCTGCATGGCTCAGCACAAACTTCCTGAATTTTCCAGGCCTTTTGCATCCATCCAGAAAGCCTACCTTGCACTTTTTTCTCCTAGTCCCCCAGTGAAGCCTCACCAGTAGTGAGCACTCACCCCGATGTGTTCTCCTGTGGGCTCCCATAAAATGTGACAGGTACACACCCGTTCCATGGACATGGATGGATATACAATTCTGTAAAGAGTGTCCAACTAGGATTAAATGAGGCCTGTGATCAAAGGCAGGGATTTCAGGGAGCAGTCTGACAGCAGGGAAGGTGTGATGACACACAGATCAGTGAGCTGGACACACAGAACCGGAATAACTGACTCTGGGACTCCTGGGAAAGGCAGACAGAAGGGCTGATAAGATGGGAGTGCTGGACAGGACCATGCAAATCCTGCCCTGGGTGCTGCCCAGTGTTTATCAGCTCCAGCTAAAGATTCCATGCCAGGCACTATGGATACGCGTGACCAGTCCCAGCAACAATAAAGGAATTCATGGTTTGGAAAAGCTCCTCCCCATCCTGCATTGTGCACAGGCCTAGAGCTTAACTGGCCAAAGTAGGTCAGGGGGAACGAGTTCATCTGCATACGTAAATTCAACTTAACAAGGAGTAAAGACAATTGCTTCAAGCTTGTGAGTTCAAAGTAAGAAAAACAGGTCTTCAGAGCTCCTTGGGAATTGGAAGCTTTGGCTTTCACCCCTCCCTGCTGTTTCCTCCCCTCGCCCACCCTCAGTCCCTTTCCTCTTGCCTCCTGCCTAATGAGGGTCTGGCAAACCCCCATTTCTCCAAACCAAGCTCGGTGAGGTCAAAAGCTCACACACAGAGGGCTGTCAGCTCCCAGTGGCTGTGAGAGCAGGTGCCATGTGTGCAACCCTCCATAGCTAATCTTCAAACAAGCAAGGAAACACAGCTTTTGTCTGCTTCCTGCAGAAAAAAGTCTTTCCACCTTTCTTCTTTTTTTGCTGAAGGGAACAAGTTCCATTTCCAGTAACTGAAGACTGATTAAAACCACTGTCCCCCTACCACCTCCCAGTCACAAGCAGCTCAAACCATGAAACAGCATCAAGAAAAAGATCTCCTATACAAAGGACTTCATAAAACCAGGAAAAAGAAACAAGCGGAAACTGCTGACATTGAGTTTTAAATCTTTCCATTCTAAAAATCCCACAACTCTTACCTTTCCCTTCCCATGCTTTTAATAAAAGTACTCCTGTGAAAACTCTTGGAATCAGTGTGTCACATCTTTGAAATGACCCAGAATTAAACAGGTATTTAATTAATACCTTTTATTCAGCCTGAGTCAACTGCTATGAATCCAAGAGCCCTGTGTCCCTCTCTATTACCTCTAACTAAAATTCATTGGGCACCAGGTGGCTCAAGGGAAGGAAATAAGGAGCTTGAGTTCAGTTCTCAGTTGACAGTTTCACCTCTAATTTGGCTGTTTGAGGCAAATCTAGATTTCCATTGCCTTAAAAATAAATGTCAACCAAGAAATGGCTGTTTAGCTCTTTAGCTGAACATGTTCTCTGAGGGAACTTGTCTTTTTCGAAACCTTTTATATTTGCTGGCAGATTGTAAAATGAATCTTTCAGTTACCTTTGCAGCCTCATTCGAGTCCACTGCAGAACTGTTCATGGAGGTTGAACTCCAGCAGTTTATGGAGACCAAACAGAGGTGGCTCCTCCTGAGCAGCTTCAATTTTGTTGATGCGGAAACTGAACCTGTTGTAAAAAAAAGACAACTTTAGTCTTCAGGGTAGCAACTGCATTAGCATCAGGTGACAAACTAATCACCCCAAAATGGAAGCATGGCTGAATTCCCCAAAGTGTTGCTGTGTCAGATTGTGTGCTGCCAAACCCTCTGCTGACACAGGACTAATAACGGGGTCCCCGAGCGGTGCCAACGCTCTGGGTCGCAGCTGCCCCCTGGGCACGTCTAATTATGATGTTCTGTGACAAGGCTATAAATACCCACAGTCCCACAGGTGAAGCCCTGATTGCAGCAGGGTTTTTGGGCAGGTGTTTGCTCTGTTCTCACACTGCCTGCCTGGACTGGAGGGCTGTTTGTAACAGCGAGAGCCTCGCAGGCCTGTGCCCTGGGGAGTGTGGAACCAGTGAGGTTTCATAATCACAGAGATCAAACATCGGCCAGAAAAGCACCGAAGGGGAAACAATTACATTTGTTCAAATGAAAAAGCTACTGACAAAACCCAAAGACCACCTGAGCAAAGGAAAAGAGGGGGTTACATTAACAGGGCAGCTCTGGAGGGCTGAACATGGTCTGAGAGGAGAAGATGATCACTCTGCCATGAGGCACTTCACCAGGAAGTTATTTAAGGATAAAGAACTGTTTGAAGAATTCCTTGAAGAACAGAGAAAGCTGAAGAGCCTTTAGTTTTTTTTTTCAGCATTCTGTTCTTAAAGATTATTACATTATAACACTTTAGGCTTATAACCCAGTCGGTGCCCAAGATCACTGTTCACCATCCACTACCAGGTCTCACTCTCTCCTCCCCCAGCAACTCTAGTCCCCATCATCCCCCTGTCCTGACAACTCTGCCTCCTTGGTGCTCTGAGGAGCAACTTCAGAGGAACAGAATAAATAAATAAATGAGGAAGTCCTTTATGGCAATGACCAGTAAGAAATGGAACCTGTTGGGCAGCCAAATGAGCCCAGAGGGCCAGTCGTGAATTCATGATAACAGCTGCTGGCTGAATACCAATCCTTGCACCCTAAATAGTGGGAAAAAATCAACAACAGGAAAAAAAAGCCTTCTGCTATCCCATCTCCTTTACTGTTTGCTTTGTCAGACTCCGAGGAGATGACAATCACTCACAACACAGAACTGAATAAGAAAATTATCGGCTGCCTCAGCCAACGCACTGTGGCACAGAGTTGTCAAACTCTTGCAAATTCTGTCGTAAGTCTCCGAGCAAATGTTCCTGGGATTTCTAAAGAAGGCCAGAAAAACTCCCTTTCATTGGAAAGGGAAACCTCCCTTTTTCCTCACTACAGCACCTCTGTGCTGGATGGACCAGGCAGCAAGGGGCGCTCACAGCCCCTGCTCCCAGCACGGCCTCGGGGCTGGGGGGAGGTCTGAGGAGGGCAACTCACCCTGGAGAAAGTACGCAAGAGAATGAAACCAGATGTTACAAAAAAGAATATAACGCTAGGATTGGTGCTCAGCTTCAGTCAGCGTTTGGTTTGCTGGACACAAGCCATTAGAGAGCCTTTGGTGTGAGGCAGAGGAGCTGGGGGACCACAGTCACAGGCACTGCGCTGCCTGGGCAGCGTGGAAATTCAACACAGACCCACACGCGTGTTGGGAAACAAGGAACTGAGAAAAGGAGCACCGTGAAGAGGAACCCAGGGCAGGGAAGGTGGCACCAGGTACAGAGGAAGATGCAGGTACGATGCCCAGCCACGCTTCAGCTCAGCGCTGCTGAGGGCCCTGGCACCGTGGCAGCACTCACCGCGGGCTCCTCGCCCCGGCTCCCCGCTGCCTGAGGGCCCGGGGGCCCGGTTCGGACCATCGCCGGCGGCCCCGCCTCGGCGGTGCCGTGAGGGAGCCTCAGCCCCGCCATGTCCCCTCACGACGCGCCGCTCGCGCTATTCCCATACGGGGTTACGCAAGTTGCGCAGCCGCCCCGCGGGGCCGTACGCAGGTGGCGCAGGCGGGAGCGCTATTCCCGTACGGGGTTACGCAGGTTGCGCAGCCGCCCCGCGGGGCCGTACGCAGGTGGCGCAGGCGGGAGCGCTATTCCCGTACGGGGTTACGCAGGTTGCGCAGCCGCCCCGCGGGGCCGTACGCAGGTGGCGCAGGCGAGCGACGCGCAGCGATTCCCGAAGCGGGTTACGCCAGCGCGGCGGCCGGCGGGGCGGGCGCTCCGGAGGCCGGCGTAAGGAGGCCCCCGCCGGCGGGGGCCCCGCCTCAGCCGCGGCGGGAGCAGGAGGAGCGGAGCGGGGCGCGATGTGGCAAGCGCTCGGTGTGCGTGGGCCTACTGGCCCTGGCGCTGGGCTACCTGTGCGTGCTGGGTCCCGAGCTGCCCCCCGCGGCCCTGCGGCAGCTCTCGGCCTCGCTGCTGGGGAAGCTGCGCCGCGCCCGCTCGCTGGAGGCGCGCACGGTGGCGCCTGGCAGGCGGCCATTGTCCCGCCCGGCGCGGCGGCTGGCGCGCGTCGCCGTCGGGTAGGTGCGGGAGCGCGCGGGGAGTGCCCCCTGGCGGCGGGCGGACGGGCATCCCCAGATCCCGGTGTGTGGATGGACATGGATGCGTGTGGATGGACATGGATGCGTGCGGGGCTGGATTTGTGTGGGGGGATGGATGTGTCGGGGCCTCTGCACGGGTGGGGATGTACCTGGGGTGTATCTGCCCCACTCAGGTGGGACAGCTGGGGGTGTTCACCTGGAGAAGAGAAGGCTCCGGGGAGACCTTAGAAATGTTTCCAGTGCCTAAAGGGGCTCCAAGAGAGCTGGAGAGGGACCTTGGACAAGGGCCTGGAGGGGCAGACCAAGGGGGAATGGCTTCCCACTGCCAGAGAGCAGGGTTAGATGGGATATTGGGAAGGAGTTTTTGGCTGTGAAGGTGGGGAGGCCCTGGCACAGGCTGCCCAGAGAAGTTGTGGCTGCCCCATCCCTGGAGGTGTTGAAGGTCAGGTTGGACGGGTCTTGGAGCAACCTGGGCTAGTGGAAGGTGTCCCTGCCCATGGCAGGGGGTGGAACCAGATGATCTTCAAGGACACCTTCCAGTCCAGACCATTCCATGATTTCCTCAAGAGTGCAGCTCCTCCCCACTGCTCCATTGGACCCCAATTGAGGGGAGGAATGACCCAGAACACTCCTGTGCTGGTGGTTTCAGGGTGCTGTGGGGTTCAGGCCCCGTTGGCAGCCTGTCTCCAGAGACCCTGTCCCCTGTAAAACAACCTTACATCCAGAGTCTGAGGGCCTTGGAGCTCCTGGCCCATCCAGTTCAGGCTGGCAATACATAAGTACCAGAGACAAGTTAATAAAGTGGAGAAGGGAGCAGAGAGAGGACAAGGCAGTGGATGTTGAAGGCACCTGTGCATGCCCAGGGAAATCCAACGTTCTTCTTCTTTTTAAAGTGGAAAGAAAACAAAGGGAAAATTCAGGAATATCACATTGACCTCAAATGCTGGTTTTAAGACTGACCATTAATCCGGACATTATATAGAGCACCTCACTCACTTCCTTTTAAATATAAAGACTGGCAGGATAACTTGACTTTGACTGGAAGATTCGGCCTTCAGGTGTTGGAAGGAGTTATCCACCCCCATGGCTGTGGAGCTGTGTGCTGGCAGAGGAATGTGACTTGGTTTCGTCCCCTTGGATCTTTAACGATTCATTAAAGCATAAAATTGGGGCTAAAAGGCTGCTTGAGCTTATCATTTCTTTTCCCTGCTGTGCCAGGGTATTTCTCTCTCCTCTGCAGGAGATGATGCACACCCAGAGGATTTCTGGGCTGGTTACCTCGTGGATTGGAAAGCCTCAGGGCTTTTCGTGTCCTTTATTTTGTGTGATGCAGCTTTCACGTGTTGTGGCCCTTGAGAGGTCCCTGCCAAGGAGGAATGCTGGATGCTGGGCACTCCACACTGACATGGAGCAGGAACTGGCCTTGGGAGCGTGGTGGGAGACGCTGAGAAAGTCAGAGATCCTGCAAAAGTTTTGTAGATGGTTTGGATCCCTGTCAGGGGAGTGTGGGGCAGAGGAATAGAAATGGCACTTGACAGCAGGTCCATAAGATGCTTAAATAATTGCTGGTGTCCTCTCAGGAAATATTTGGTATGTGTTGGTATCTCTCTGAAACCACAGGGTGAAACAAGGGCAGGTGTTCACAACTTGTCTTCCTGGAGGTCTGGTTCCAGGCAGAACTTTCCTGTTCTCTAGTTTGAACTAGACTGTGATTAAATTGATGTAATTGATAAGGAAATAGGGACTGGAAGTCAGGTTTTCCATAAAGCCTGGACCTGCTGAAATGGTTTTTATCCCTCCCTAACTATTGCAGGGTTTTTCTCCTGCTTTCACCGCATGCTATTTCTGGAAGTTAGGGATCGTCCTTTAGAAATTGCAGTTTTCAAATATTTCAACTGACAAATCGCTCTCTTGACTTCTTATAAACAGAACCAGCCTGTGTGGGGAGTTGGTGTGTGGGTTTGAGTATTATTAGGAGCAGCTGAAACTCAAGAGGCTGATCTAGCAGGCTTAAATACTTTCTGCTTTGTTTTTTACAGTTTTGAATCGCATGCACATTTTAAACCCCAAAGATATATATTTTTAAAAGCTTCTAAGAATTAAAAATTAATTATTTGATAATTGTGCCTGTTTTTTTTTTGAGTGAGTCTAAGGCAGCAAATGAAGCAAACCTGTATTGTAACATACTCAACCACCTTAGGACCACACAGCTCACTCTTCCTTGTTTTAATTCAGCAGGAAGGTAGAAATGCCCCTCTCCTCTGCAGTGCAATAAAGGCAAGTCAAAGGGAGAAGGCTTTAGGAGAGAATTTCAGGGAATTCCTGTGCCTTTGTGAGGGTTTTTTTTCCATCTGGTTGGTTGTTCTCCCCCTGAACAGCCATCACTGCCTGGGGTGTGATCTCACTGTGTTGTCTCACAGGTTCCAGACAGAGTCAGAGTATTCCCAGTTGGAAGGGACCCACAGGGATCACCGAGTCCAACTCTTAAGTGGACGGTCTCCACAGGGATCAAACCCATGACCTTGGCATTATCACCAGCTGAGCTAATCTCAGTTCCCTCGGATCCGGGTGGTTTTCCCAGGACGCCTTTCCCTTGTCTCTTCCAGCGTCAATGCCTGTGTGGACGTGGTCCTGTCCGGCGTGAAGCTGCTGGAGGCGCTGGGTCTGGAACCCAGGGATGGGAAGAACCACGCGGTGCTGAGCTCCGGGCAGGACCTGGGGGAGGCCTTCACCCACTTCATGGAGCGAGGGGCGGCCGCCGAGCGGTTCTTCAGCGACGCCGCGGCGTTCCGGGACATCGCACGGACGGCCTCGGAGCACCCTGCGGCACAGGTGGGGCTGCGCCCAGCACAGGCCTGGGGGAGCGTGGTTCTTACCTGCTGATCACCATTTTCCCTCTAGTGAGAGAGCAAATCCTTTAGGAAGGGAACTCGCGGTGTAGCTTGAGTGTGGGAATGATTTGCCACAGGATTCTGGCCCCGCTGCAAATAGGAGGGGTTTAAATTGTCTCTCCCCTGCTGACGTTCCCAAAATGAAATGTCAAAGATGCCTCTTTAAGAATATTGTTATATGAGAGCTAGATGAGGCTGAGGCTGTAAAAGTGGCTCTAACACCTTGGAATGAGGCAGGGAGCAGGGAATCACCTGATTTTCAGCTGGATCCTTCCACAGCCTGTTTTCTGTCAGAGAATCCCAGAATGGTTTGGGTTGGAAGGGACCTTGAAGCTCATCTGGTTCCACCCCCTGCCATGGGCAGGGACACCTTCCACTAGCCCAGGTTGCTCCAAGCCCTGTCCAGCCTGCCCTTGAACAATTCCAGGGATGGGGCAGCCACAGCTGCTCTGGCCAACCTGGGCCAGGGCCTCCCCACCCTCACACCCAACAATTCCTTCCCAATATCCCATCTAACCCTGCCCTCTGGCAGTGGGAAGCCATTCCCCCTTGTTCTGTCCCTCCAGGCCCTTATCCAAAGTCCCTCTCCAGCTCTCTTGGAACCCCTTTAGGCCCTGGAAGGGGCTCTAAGGTTTCTCTGGAGCCTTCTCTTTTCCAGGTGAACACCCCCAGCTGTCCCAGCCTGGCTCCAGAGCTGAGGGGCTCCAGCCCTTGGAGCAGCTCTGTGGCCTCCTCTGAGTGTCTGTGACCCTCATGACAATCCACATTCATTGGTTTCAAAGCTCACATCAGTTTTCTCACTGGGAAGTTTGACCTCTCTTACCTGAAGAAAGGTAGGAAGGTTCCTCTCACTCCACGTGGGTGCAGGGACCAGGATTCACCTCAACCTCAAACTGGAGGAAGAGCTGTTGCAATTTTTAAACGATTCCTTGGCAGCCTTGCTAAAAACCCACAGGTCACCCACTGCCACAGAGAAGAGGAGTGAGGGCTGTTTATGTGCTGAATGAGTAGATTCCTTCAGCACTGTCAGTGTTATCAATTAATTGATTTCTACATGGCCATTACCTGAAGGTGAATATTTAGATTTAACAAAAAGAGAACACTCAAGTTGTTGAGATTCTCACAGAGAACTGTACAGTTGTTTTGCCTTCAGCCCCAGTAAGCTCTAGTGACTTGGGTACTGCTGGACTGTGTTCTAAAAACCCAGAATCTCCAGGCTGTGCTGAGGACTGAACAAGTATAAAGGTCCCCCAGCAAGGGGTCCCACACCCTGCTCTGTTTGTTTTACAGCTCTACGTGGGAGGAAACGCTGCTCTCATCGGGCAGAAGCTCGCGACAAATCCAGACCTGAAGGTACACACACACTCCAAAGATTTCATGCTGTTTCCTCATCTTCTTTAATTTGCTTGTCTCAAGCAAATTACTTCCCTGTAGGTTTTGGGGATCTGGCAGTTATTTCTTGGGTTGTGATGGAACATATGGTTGGCCTTTCAAGTAGAAAACACAGCTGATTTTTAAAAATTGAATTATTAACTTCTTAAAAATTGTCTAGGTGATGCTTACATTTTGGCAAGGGACATGGCAGGGAAACCTTAGTTATTTTTTCCTGTTTTCTAGATCCTCCTTTGTGGCCCAGTTGGCCCCAGACTCCACAAACTGCTCGATGACAACGTGGTCGTGCCACCTGAATCCATGCAGGAAAGAGATGAATTCCATCTTATCTTGGAATATCAAGCAGGTACCTTCCCAAAGGCAGTGTTGAGTGGGAACCCCAGACATCACTGGGATTGATGCACAGCCCTCATGGGTGTCATTCTAAAGCTGCACAAACACTAAAATGGTCCCTGAAAACACAAAGGGACCATTTAACCACGTGCAGGTGAAACCCAGAGTAACCCTCATGCAGTGCTGAAACAAATCCATGTGTTTTCTTGACATTTAACTTGTGATCCTGCCCAGGAATACAACAGTTTCCACCTCCTTGCCTCTGTTTGCTCCCCCCCAGGTGAGGAGTGGGGCCAGGTGAGAGCACCCACCGCCAACCGCTTCATCTTCTCCCACGACCTGTCCAACGGTGCCCTCAACATGCTGGAGGTGTTTGTGTCCAGCTTGGATGAATTCCAGCCAGACCTTGTGGTGCTTTCAGGACTTCACATGATGGAAGGGCAGAGCAAGGAGGCGCGACAGAGGCGGCTGATGGAGGTGAGATATTGGAACGCCGGAGTCTCCCAGTTTTCCACTCCAGCAAGTGCTTCGTGGCAAGGCCTTGTTTTCCCAGGGTGGAAGGTGTAGGTGGGCTGTGCCTTCAGCTCTCCCACAAATCCCAGTGTTGCCTGCTAAAAGGAGACTGGGAACTGCAGGAATGGCAAAAGTCTAGTTCTGTAACAGTGACTTTTCTTAGGTTCAGTGGGTTGTCTAAGGAAGAAGAAGGGCTGGTTGCCTGGCTGGAGAGCACTGACCTGGATGCTGGGCTTGTCTAGTGGCTAAATCACACCTTTCCTATCCCAGATACTGAGGTTATCCAGGTTATAATCAACACTGGCATTCCTTAAGCAGCATCTTACACCACCTGTTTTACAGCTGAGTTCTGGTCCTGATGCAGGGCACTGGCCTTTTTTTGTGTTCTAGGATCAGCTGTTCTACAGTTCCTTCAGATTTATGAGGTTTTGGAATTAGTCCATGAGAAAGGTGCTGAGCTGGGTGCAGAGTAGGCTTGGATACAGTTTTCCTGCTCTGGAATTCTGAAAACTAGCCGTTGTTTTTATTTCCTCCCTTAGCAGTACATCCACTGGTCAGACATCTCATTTGGAATTGTGTTTATAACCAGGCACAGGAAGATTATAGTATGTGTATTTCAAGTCCAAACCCTTTTCCTCCTCCTGTTCCTTAATAAGTACATGTTTTAGTGTTGTTTTTTCTATTTTCCTGTAGGCTGTGGCCTCCATCTCCGATATCCCTACTGACATTCCCATTCACCTGGAGCTGGCCAGTATGACTGATCAGGATTTTATGAGCAACATTATGCATCAGGTAAGGAAAATGACAGGACATGCTGTTTTTGTCAGGTTCAGTATCACAGTGCACACACTGGTATATGAGCATAGAAATGAACATTTAAGATTAGGACTATCCGTTAAAGGATTGAATCTGAGCTGAGTTTATAATTTAAAAAAACCCTTGATTTCTTTGCAGGAGTTCTTTCCTGCAGATCCTGGTGGTTCCTTTCTTATCCTGACACAGATCTGATTTCAGTGTTATGAGTGTTTCATCTGAAGTTGATGTTTTGTTACTCTTGTCCAAGTGTGTGCCTAGAAAATTAATTGCACCAATTGGAATGTTTCCTTGGCTGAGTAATTCTTGCCAACTTGGAGAAGTGCAGTGACTTTGGGCTGCATCTCTCTGGGAGACTGGGTGCTGAGCGCCCCAGGTTACTGTGACACCCACACCCCGAAGGAGGAATCCCAAATCCGACTGTCCCTGTGAAGGCAAACCCGTGGTTCCCGTGTTTCTGTTAGCAGGTCTTTCCCCTGGTGAACTCCATCGGGCTGAACGAGCAGGAGCTGCTGTTCCTCACCCAGGCTGCCTCCGGCCCCCACGCCTCCCTGGGCTCCTGGAGCGGGATTCCCGACGTGGGGGTGGTCAGCGACATCCTCTTCTGGATCCTGAAGGAGCACGGGAAGGCGGCGGAGCGGGCGTCCGACCTCACGCGCATCCACTTCCACACCCTGGCCTACCACATCCTGGCCACCGTGGACGGGCACTGGGGCAACCAGGCGGCGGCGGTGGCGGCCGGGCCAGGGCCGCCGGCACCCAGGCCTGCGCCACCGACACCATCGACACCAGCAGGGTCCTGCTCAAGGCCCCCCGCGAGTTCCTCACCTCCCACACGGAGGCTCCCGCCAAGATCTCCCTGAACCCGGACGAGCCCGTGGTGCACTGGCACAGGGAAGGCATCTCGTTCCACTTCACCCCCGTGCTGGTGTGCAAGGACCCCGTGCGGACCGTGGGGCTGGGGGACGCCATCTCCGCCGAGGGACTGCTCTACTCCGAGGCCTATCCTCAGTAGGAAACCAGGAACTTCTCCTTCTCCGGCGCTGCACGGTGTCTGAGCCCCGTGGATTGGGATTTGAGGCAGTTGGTGGCATAGGAACAGACTCGGGGTGTGGTGTGTTTTCTGGGTGTAACTGAAAAAGAGCCAAAGAATAATTCCAGGTATAAACTGTCGGCACATTCCAGTCACTGGGCAGTGACTCGAACGCTTCTCGTGTGGGTGCAGATGTTTTAGGATTTAATGTGAAAATTGGCTTTGTCCTGAGCAGTGGGAGAGGGAGGCAAAGACCAAAATCCCTGGCTGGTGTAGGTTTGCTGTTTGTAGCTCAGAATGGATCTTGTCTGGTAGTGCTGGGAAGTGCAGCAGGAGAATTCCCTGCCTGCGGATCCCGGGGAGAGCACAGCAGTGCCCGGCCCTGCCTTGCCTCTGGTAAATTCCAAATAAAAGGCTTGTGGCTTATCTCCTCCCAGCACACTGCAAACCTTCCCTTGCCTGGGACAATGATGGAATTTTTGCCTGGTGAAATCATCTCTCCGTGTCCCCAGAGGGAGCCACGGTCCCAAAATGTGATGCAGACTGTACCTACTGCAGGCTGTGCAGGTGATGCTGGGGATCTGTGACTTAAAGGTGTTCAGCTGAGCCCCAGCAGCCTGTGTTTAGCTTTTGGGAAAGTGGGAGTGAAGACAATCGGGGTTTTTATTTGGGGGACAGCTCTGCTTCCCTGTCAGGTGGCCCCCAAAGCATTACCTTGTTTGCTGTACACTAAATACCTTCTCTGCTGACAGCAGGGGCTTCCAGGTGCTGTGTTACAGAAATGCTCTCGAGTGCTGGAGACTCGATTTTCGGTTGTTTGAGAGTGGTTGTGCCAAATTCTTCAGTCTTCCTGCTCTCCATTCAGAAGGGTTAATATATTAGGGAAGGTCCCTCTGGAAGCTCAGAAGCTGTAACAGCATTTTCCAGGTCAGACTGAAGTGAGGAGGCCTTTTTAGGGTTTGATGTTGGAGGTTTTTTGACTAGGTCACCAATAGTTTCTTTGCTCTGGCCTTTGAAATTAAAAAAGCAGAACCCTGTGTCCTTGTTAAATACTTCTGGTTTTTTTACCTGTTCACAGTCACACACCACAAACTGCAGAGCGCCAGCCTGGGGTTTGTGTCTTTCCAGCATGGTTTGTCTCTGGCCACTTCAGGAACTTCAGGTGTATCTGCATAGCTCTCACAGCCATTTTTCAGAACTGGATTAAATGCCATCAGCCTGTCTGGGCAAGCCTGTGCCTCACCAGAGTTTGTAGGAGGTCGTTTTAGGTCAGTCTTTGTGTCTGCATGGAGGGGAGGAGAGTCTGTCACTCAGGGTGGAGTGATCTGTCTCAGTAACACTGTCATGCTGCTGTCAGGGATGTTCTCCTGTTGGAAAATCCATCCTGAATGCTCTGCAAGGATAAAAATTGGCAGCTGTTGTACTTGCACTGACTCAGCACACAATGCTGGCTGTCAGTGTGTATTCAGCTTTCCCTCTGAGCAAAGTCTTCTGTGTTGTACAGAGCAGAAATACAGTCACTGCTGTGTTTTCCTGCAGCTCATCCCATCCTGAGCTTCCCTTGACTCTCAGCATTTTATCTTGGTGCAGGACCTTCTTAAGACTGGAAGTATTTCTATCCAGATTATTTTTTTTTATTATTATTATTATTGATAAACTGTAGCACAGGACTCTCAGTTCTGGTTTAGTCTTCCTAAATTAAAAATTAATTAAAAAAACCTCTCAGCTGTCTGAGAGGTCCAAAGCCATTAACAAGGTCATTTTTAAAGGCCATGGATCTGCCAGGTGGAGAACTGAGCCTTCCTAGGTCCCACTTTCCTGACACTGGGCCAAGCTGTGGATTCTCAAGTTGGAAACAAAACAAAACTAAACACACACAGGCTGTCACCAGCAATGGCCCTGCTGCTGTATTTCACTTCTCTCTTCCAAAAACACTTCCAGGGATGTGAGGCTCATTGGACTGGCATTCCCTATGGCCACTTAAAACCATGGGACTGCACTTACAGACCTTGCCCAAGGGCAAAGTTGTGCTTGTATTGAACAGGAATGTGACAGGCCTAAAGTATCTCTTTTTTAAGCGAGTTTGAATAAATAATTGGTGTAAACAATTATAAAAAAGGAATTTATTGCTTAGAAATCACCTGGGCCTTAAAGCTAAACTCCAATTATCAACTCCTGTTCACTCCTCCTTCCTGCTGTTCCTGTTCTTTCTCCCCAGGTTACATTTCTCCCGTGGGTGCCCTGGGAATACCTGGCACTGGGAGTCACATCTCAAGTGCAGCAGCTCATGGTGGCCAGGCTGCTGCTCCATCCAGATGTGCTTTATCAGGCACACAGAGCTCCCCTGCCACCAAATGCACTTCCCAAGGATAATCCTTAAGCAGCTGTGCTGGTGGGATCCAGGACTCAGTTCTGAAACAATCTATATGATAATAAATGTGAATTGGATGGAGGGGCCCAGCATGTTTTACACGCTGTGAACATGATGTGCTTAACTTCCCTCTGCCTTCCCAAGGGAATGACAGGCAGGGTGGCAGAGCTCCTGCAATCCTTCCCCTGCCTGTGTAGTCTCACACCCCTGCACAGCCTCAGTAGTGACAGCACAGAAAAGCTGCTCTAAAAGCTGCAAAAATACCAAAGCTTCAAACCCAGGCTTCAAGTGACTCTGCTCCCCCTGATCCTCTCTGTCTCTACAAATTGTGTTTGTTCTCCTGTGTTACTCATACCTGGAAATCCACAGTGCTGGAGGCCTCAAACCTCAGCCAACCTCACGCTCCCAAAGAAGGGTTTCCACTGGAAATGTTTACTCACACACATTTTGCTGGAGGTGCAGCAGCTGAGCTCAGCATTGGGACATCTCCCCATGACAAAACCTGTGCACTTGGGCATTTCCATCTGTGTCCCTGCAGCCAGTGCAGCCACCTTGGTTTGGGTTGTTTTGTCTTATCCAGGATCCAGAATGAGCATTGTTCCCATCTTTTCTGTGCCTGTCCCTTACTGAAGGTCAGGTGGTGGATTATTTGAGAGGTGTGAATCACAGGAGGCTGGCAGAGTCCCAAAGGACACGTTCCTTCACTGTGCCCTTGGTGCTCACCATGGAAAAACCAATCCCAAATCTGCCTCTTCCCAGTTTAAAGGCTCTTTACAGTTTTTTCTCCTCTCCAGGAGAGTTTCACAGTGTTGCTAAGGAATGACTTGATTTTCTATTTTTACTTCTGTGTTTCCTGGTTATCTCCTGTTGGGATATGTGAGAGCCAGTTATGTTTGCTCTTCCCTCCCAAATTCCTTTTTACAGAACTGGTGCTGAAAAGTTCTTCCTGAGCCTTTAGCAAAGACCTCAGTAGCTGCTCTGACCCATGTTAGATGTTGCCTTAGAGCTCAGCTCCACTCAGCCACTGGAATCCAAAGCTTGGACAGCAGCAGAGCACTAGATCCACTCCAAAACCCAATGGAAAACCCTCAGCACTTGTGCTTAGCTTTTTTTTTTACTATTTAGTCTGTAAGGATATGCTGAGTTATCAGGAATTATGTGCCACAGGTGACCTTTCCAGCCCCATCCTGAGAAAAGAGTTGAATAGTGGGACAGTTTTGTGAGAATGGTACAACAGAACTCGATTTCCAGTTACCCCAAAAGTTGGTTTGGGCTCTTTTTGGCACTTGCAGCTTAGGTAAGTTAGGGAGATAAGCTCAGGAAAGCTGAGGGTTGTGAGTGACCAGCTAAAGAGTCTCTGTGCTAATATTTGGGTGCTGCCTCACATGTTCAGAGCAGCTCCTGTCACAGAACGTGCTGCCTTGCTATTCCTGGGCTAAGGAAACTCACCAACTTTTAGAGAAAACAGGAGGAAAAACAGAAAAATACTGGGTCTGATTAAAGTCTGCAGTGAAACTTGGATCTCAGAGCCAGGAATGCTGGTCCTGTCTGCCCAGAGAGAGCAGATGAAATTCTCCTCCGTAACAGATGGAGCAGTTCCTTGTGTAATCTCTCAGGTGGATCCAAGCTGAATTCTCAGGGAGTTTCTGATCCAGACTGGTGGGAGGATGTTCCCTCAGCAAAGGGAACGTGCAGGTTGGAATGGCACACGTGGCCAGTCCCGTCTGTGCCGGGAGCTCGGGAAGGCGTCTGTTCCCAAACAGCCTGGGATCAGCCTCTGCTGAGCAGATCTCATGGCAGCTGAGGAACACAAATCCTGGCAGGAATTGTGAAATGTAAGTGGGGGCAATGAAAAAAAAAATACCCAGAAAAATGAAAAAAAAAATACCCAGAAAACCTCCCCCCGTGAATTTCTCAGGAAAGCTGCTCCTCGCTGCAGCCTGGGCGAAACTGGGTTCAGAGCTCACCTGGATCTTCCATTAATAACACGGATTTTTTTGGAGCAGTTTGGTTTGAGAGAGTGGTAAAGCTTTCCTTGTAGCAGAACTGGACTTTATCTTACAGAAAAGTCTTGGCAGATGAAGCACTTGTTGCAACACGTGCTCCTTTCGAGCACATTTATGTGTGGAGCTTATTATTTTAGTCAAGGTTTACTTCACTGAGCACTGCTCCCTGTCTGTCTCTGTAGAGGAGGTTTTGCCAACTGCAACCCACTTCCCGACTGGGAAATCTAAATTTTTAACATCTTAAAAGACCCCTGTGTCCACCTGGCTCAGGCACAACTGAGCAAACATCTACAGGAGCATGGCAGGTATCCACTAATCCTGCCTGTGCCATAAATCAGCATCCAGTTGTCTCAGGGACCTCAAAACCAGATTTTTTGGGTTGAACATACGTTGCTGGATGAATAAATTATTACTCTTGGCTGAAACAAGGTCTTGCTGCCCAGGCATTTATGTTTGAGTGTCTTCTAGTTTGTTTTCTGTGCAGAAGCCAAGCTGCAGAGAACCCTATGAGCTCTGTGATTTACCCGGGCTCATCAAAGATGTTTTCCTAAAAAGGGCAAGAAAAGTCCTAAAGCAGATGGTTTCTCCTTCCCTAGAAATTAGGCTCATTATTGTTTTCCATCTTAAAATTTCCATTATGGGGGGAAAAGAGAAGATTAGAATTATGGCTGATGCCAGAAACAGGTTTTGGAGCATAAGGTGTGATTTCCAGAATCCCTAAATGCCTCAGTGCAGTCCTGCTGAAGAGTCCCTTGCTTAATTCCAGCCGAATGAACAGTCCAGCCTCATTATCATTAGCACAAAAAAGCTCTCCAGAAAGATCCTAGGAATTTACTGTGTGCAAATGCCATCATCACCAGAGCCAGGGGAGAAGAGGGGGCAGGACGAGGAATTGCAGTTCTGTTTATTATCCAACTGGAATTACATATTTAAAAATGCTTCCCAGGAAGTAGGAAGGTGCTACTGCTTTTTCACAGAAGGAGAATTGGTTCATCATCTGTGTAACCTCTTCACCAAAATACATATTTAAAATAAATCCCTTCACAGGTACCTTCAAATGCTGTATGTGCTCCCTGTGTGACATTTACCCTATCAAAGCATCCTAGGACAAAAATCTGTCTTGAACTCAAGTTTTGGGGCTGAGGTAAAGAATTCCCAGCCCCTGCCCACCCCTGCTCTGCAATCCTCACCTCTTCCTCCCAGGCACTCTGTTACACTGCAGGAACTCCCAGTGTAAGAAGTTTAATGTGAATAAAAATGTCTGCACTGTACCTGATTTACCTGCTCCTGGTCTGGTTTGTTTCAATTTGCCAGCGCTCCACAAAAAATCCTGTTTTCTTCAACTCCTGGCAGGATGGAACCCTTACAGGAGGGAATCCTTACAGGAATGCTGCCCTGGAGCTGTACTGACAGAAAAACCCAGCAGAGAGAACAGCTGGGGGGAGAAACAGCCACATTTAAGATCAGCAGTTTGGGCCATCAAAACAGAGGGGAGAGTGAGGGTTCTTGCTCTGGTGTTCTCCAGGGAGCAGGAGAGCACTTCAGTTCCTGGCTGGGCTCTAAAGATGCATTAATGTCATTCTGGGTCACAGCAGCAAACACAAAGCACAGCTGAAGGATGGGGACGGACCCAGAGCCCTGCTGGTGCTGCTTTTACACT